TAATTGCATCAAAGAGCACGCCAGAAACCTTAAGTATAATCAAGAAAGCTTTATTTTCCAAAATAGTAATTTTTAAAGTATACAAAGACTACACATTAAAACGACACCATCTGGAACACCTTCTGTTTAGAGCTTTTTAGAGCAAAAATGCTCTGTGTGTGGAAAATATTATTGCAATATTTTTCTGTCTAAAGGCACTCCTGCTATCCTTATAGAGAAAATTATCAAGATGATTAAAATATACATATCTAAAGAGCAACACTATATTCAGTGAATGATTATCAATGTTTTAACTTTTTTCAGGTGGGGGGGGTCTTTTTCCTCTTTGCCATTAAAACATTAACATATTTTAGCATTTTCATTAAAAGATAAGAACAAGGAAAAATGTAAAATTAATTTATTAAATGTATTTATAATTTGTAATTCTAGTTCAAGCTATTATTAGCCCAAAAATAAAGGTTAAAAATTAGAGTTGGCTGGTTTCTCTCTCTTTCAATTGTTCACACAATCTCTATATGCCATCAACATGAATAACTGGAAGTTTTATTTCCTAAAGCCACAATTTTATCTCCATTGACAAGTCTAATACAATCTGCTTTAGCTTGTAGTCATTATTTCCCAAAGGACTAATAGATCAAAAGAGATATGAAAACCAGAGCATGCACTGAAAATTCTCTTACTTTGACATGGTATTAAAACAGCTTTTAAACAATTATATCTATAATTAACCAGATTTTTTTTTTCCTTTAGTACTGGGAGAGAAGTACATATCCCCCATTTTGATAAATCATTAATAAACTCTGTCATAAGTTGAGGAGTCATCCTTCTGTCCTAATTCATTAAGCAATTGAAAGCCATCAGACTGGTGTCTGTCTCAACATCCCATCACCAGATCAAGACAGCTACCAACATCCAATACCATCTTTTAAGTCCTCTTTCTCTTACAAGTGAAGACCTTGCTCTCTCGTTGTTCTGACTCATACACATTAAATCTCCCCCTGTGCCTCCTTCCCATAACAATTTTAAACTTGTGCAAGTTCAAACCATATCAAAAAAACTGCACACATATTCCCTTCCAGGGTCAAACCCTTTCTAAACCACTATTCTTATTTACCTCCAGACACCCTTGACTACTATCCTCACCAGCTGTTACAATTGTCTGTTCCCAAGTTTAATCTATTCTAGTTTTCTGTCTATCAATTCTGCTTTCCTCAAAGTCACAGATGGAATCTGCACCATTCATCCAAGGAGCATCTGTCTTTCTCAGACCCATACCCTTGATAGCACTGGACATTTTTGAGACTTTCATCCTTATTGAAATGCTCTCTTCTGGGCTTTGTGATTATCCCATAATGGCAATCTTTGTTCTTTCATAAAAATACCTTCAACATAACTTGTTAATAACACACATAAACTTTGAGATAATTATAAAAATGGGATAAGCAATTTTAACTTATTTTTGATTTTCACTACTTTTCAACCATTCCATGAACTAAGATTAACTTCTGATTCCTATTATCCCAGAGATTGTCAAGATGTTTTTAAGTTATGGAACATTTGTTTTTTCATTTCTCGCGTTAGTGTGGGTATGTAGCTACATGCAATAAGTATTAAATGGACACTTAGCAAATTGAACAACTCTAATCCATGTTTGCTACATTTTAATTTAAAATCTACACACCACTGACAAAATCCTTCATAAACCAAAAATGATAGAAAAATGAATTGACTATAGTAATCTGATAAATAAAAGAAAAAATAAACACAACATATTCAATTAGCCACTTGCTTATTTACTTATTTAAAACATAAACTCATGAACTAAGATACCAAGTCAGCATTGTTGACCATTTCTTCCTGCCATAGAAGAAGCAGGCAGCAGAGAGATTATAAATAGAAATAGATGATAGTAAAAACTGCATTTGTGCTAGTACTACCTACACATATACTACCTTGTTATTTCTGAACATATAATTAACAGCACCCTGATAGCAGAGTGAAATAATTTAGCACCAAGAATTAGAATTTAAAGTGTCAATAACTACAATAATCACAGAAATAAGTAAAAAATACAAAATCCTAATTACACCTGTACATTAACAATAACACTCATGATATAAGTATCTAATCAGCAATATGCTGGATGTCTAGCATTATTGATGTCCTCCTCTGGGAGTCACAGAAAAGACAGGTTCAGGTAACCACTTAAAATCATTATCCTTGTCCTTAGCAAGAAAATCACCTGAGGGAAGTTTGATTTTTTACTTTTATATTACTGTGTATGTGTGTGTCATATTGTATATTTATGGCAAATGATCTTTTTTTCTGGTACAACTGAAAATTCCGAATCCATATAAATATGAGATTATAAAACAAATGACAAGAAACAAGAAAAACAATTTGTTCAAGGGACTATGCCGGGGCCTCCCCGGTGGCGCAGCAGTTGAGCACTGGGTTGTGAAGGTAACCGTAGCCTCTGCAGTGCCGGTTCGATCCCCAGCCGCCGGGCGAGGGTCCCACATGGCTGCAGACCTCTCCTGCCGCCTGCTGCTCCCCTCAGCAGTGTACGTAGGTCCTTCTGCCTGCTCTGCTCCCCATTCTGGCTCTGGTGAATTCTCTCACCCACCCACACTTCTGACTGTACCCAGTGCTTGTATAAATAAATAAATAAATCTTTAAAAAAATAAAAAAGAGACTATACCTCTGTAATTGTGATTAGGACCCTAGCTGCTCCTTCCCAAGCTCTCTTGTGAGATCATCCATCTCTTCCTGACCACTAAATATCGGTGACCCCAAGATACAACCTTAAATCTCTACCTATACTTTCTGTAGGTGAACCTGTCCAGTTCTTTGGCTAAAAAACATCTATATAGTAATGATTCTCAACTCTGTATCTCTAACTATAGCAGATTTGTATATTCAAATACCTGCTCACCATAGCTAGTATGCTATGAAATAAATATCTCAAAGTTATCACTACCAAAATCAAGTTCTTTTTTTTTTTTTAAAGATTTATTTATTTATTTATACAAGCACTGGGTACAGTCAGAAGCACGGGAGGGTGAGAGAATTCACCAGAGCCAGAGTGGGGAACAGAACAGGCAGACCAGCGAAATACACTGCTGAGGGGAGCAGGGGGCGGCAGGAGAGGTCTGCGCACCATGGACCCTCGCCGGTGGGTGGCCGGGGATCAAACCGGCGCTGCAGAGGCTTCAGGCAGCTTCGCAGCCCAGCACTCAACCGTTGAGCCATCAAGGGAGGCCCCAAAATCAAGTTCTTGATCATTACCCTAAACTTACTGATAGCCTCCATCTACTCTGCCTCCATGTATTTATCTAAAAAATCAACACCATCTTTTCTGTCATTACTTGGGTCAAAAACCTAGGTTCTTAACTCTTATGCTCATCTAATCCAGCAACAGATCCTCTCACCTCAACTTTCATAATATATATATCTACCCACTCCTCAGCACTATGTTATAGGTAAGTCATTTTTTGCTTGGTCTCTAGAGAAGCATTAAATGGACACTCACTTTCACTCTTTTATTTTTTTTAATTTTTTTATTTTAACATTTATCATTTTTTACAATTTTTAGACAATATTTGCATCCCCCAACCCCCTCAGATTGAGTCCCCATAGAATTTCCTTCCCCAAGGCAAGCCATGCACCATCACCACAGTCCCCTCCCTTAAATCCCTCTCCTGCCTCCTCCCCTGCAGTATGTCTCTGGTTTGTAATTGTCTGTTTTTGCTTCGTTGTGTTTTGTACTGTTGTTATTTTTTTCACACTGATGTCTTATTTGGTTCCCCTATATTCCTGTTATAAGTGCACGTTCACTCTTGCCCCCACCCCCAAAGGTTATTCATCTGAAGTTAGAGTAGACCTTCCAAAGCATTCGTCAGATGATTCCACTTTCTGGCTCTCAAACTGAGCAGTTCCCCATAATGCTTAGAATAAAATATAGGTATGATATATCATGATCTGCAAGGTCCTTATATGATCAGTCCCAGGGATATCTATGAGATCATTTCTTCCCACTCTACATTCACTCAAATTTCCCCTGCCAAGGCAAATTTCTAGCAGACTTCGAATATACCAAGTATAACACATACTTAATGTCTTCAAAATATCTTTGACCATGTGTCAAGAACAGTTTATTCAGACTGTTGCAGAGTTTGCTAATTTCATTTTTGTAGGTTTTTATCAAAGGTACCTTCTTTTACCACACTATGAAAAACAGAATACTGCTCCATTGGGCCCTTTCTCTTTACCTTTTCTTCAAGCATTTAAAATTGATAGACACAATACTGCAAAATTATTTTTTGTTTATATTCCATTTCATTCACTAGTGTTCATGTTTCATGAGGGCAGGGACTATGTCTGTTTCATTCATCACTGTACACAATTCCTATTAGCAATACATGATGAATGCCTAATATTTTGGAAAAATTTAATATAAATACCTTCATTCACTAGTGCTCATGTTTCATGAGAGCAGGGACTATGTTTGTTTCATTCATCACTGTACACAATTCCTATTAGCAATACATGATGAATGCCTAATAATTTAGGAAAATTGAATATAAATTCAAGAATAAAGGTGTAGCTATGCCTGAATCACATATATAGGTAACTCAGGATTTTATTTATACCCAATATATACCTATACTCAATATATACCTATACTGAATATAGGTATGTATGTGTGTGTATAAAGTATTCCAAACATTTAAATATAGCCATGTGACTATCTCAAAAAGATGCAGATCTATAGAAAACTGTAATAACTGATCACCCTGAATTTGTTATAAGAAGTGTAAAAACATGCAAACTTCATAAGTATACTTTCTACTGAAGAGTGTACACACACAGACACACACCCAGATGTAACTCAAAAAATCTCCACAGAATATAATCAATGGGTTCTCCCCAAAGAAGATAATCAAAATGCCCCACTCTCTATAGTTGTGTCAATAAGTAAAAAAACAAAATGCACTTACCTTCCTTTTTCAACTAGTAGCAAGACATCCAATTTTTCCCCATTTTGAACCATTGTGCTGATTGCTGGAGGAAAAGGAGAGAACACAAATGTATTTTTTAAACAGTGAATATCAATAAAGACACAATTATTAATATATGCTCGAGTGAGTCAGAATTTTATGTACAATCTTCTTCTGGCATGCACAATATAAAATTATGTCCAAAATAGAAGTGAGAGGTGGAAAATATCTTACTTAGCTCTTGCAGTCTCCTTAAGTGCATTCTATCTTCCTGAACTTCTTGTATTTGAAGGCAAAAACGCAAACTAGATTTGTCCATAGCAAACCAGCCTTTTCTCCACTGATCCAGGGCATGGCAATCTTTGTAGTAAAGTTGACCAATCAAATCATAGTCGGCTTCTGTTAAGTTTTCAGCAACAAAGGGAACAAAATGCTGTTAAAACAAACGAAGAAAAGTAATAAACACAGTGAAAATAGGAAATCTCTTCCCTATCTAAAGACGTGAGTAAAGTAAAAAACTAGCTCTGTTTTTCTATTTTTAAGATGTAACCCACATACATATAACTCACATTTCAAAACAATTATTAAACTTGCTAACAATTAGTCTTAAAGCTGAATGGCTAAAATGCATTTTCAAATTACAACGTCTTAAATCACTTTTCTGGAGACATTCTCTCTGTTAATTTGTGGCATTTTTCAAAATGTCAACCTTCAATGTTTGACTTCATTTGTATATTTTACTGAATTTGTTTATTTCCCTTTTGTGTGTATAATAAGATGCCTGCCCATAAAGACACATACTCAGAAGTGACTTTATAACATTGATAAGATCTCAATCATCAAAACATGGGTTTAATTCAAAGAATGATTTCTACAAGGTCCTTAAATCAATTTCTTCTTTGCTTAGGACTCTATGAAGGGAGATCTTAACCTCTGATTACAAACTCCAAAAACCTAATAAAGTATTCCCAGAATCTAGTATAAAATTTATGTAGACTTCTGAAGCTAAACCACAGATCACAAGCTAGGAATTTCCCCTGGATTGAGGGTAATTTAAATATTGAAATACCTTGGCTATTGCCTCTGTCCATTTTCTTTGAGCTTGAGATGTTTCAGCTCCAAATAAAAATGCACGTTCTGAAGGTAAATAGATTTCAAAGGTAAAGATGGGCCTACAGGGCACAAATAAAAGATACTATCAGTTATATTTGGTTCTTATGAAAACAAATAACATGAAAGTCAAAATTAAATTAAATTCATATTTAAAACTGGATAAGACCCAGAAATCTATCTACCTATCTGTATTTTTCTGGTGATGGTTTGGATTTTATTTGAGTTAAATGGAACACATTGGTTCAGACATATGGAATATTCTTCCGATTAATTATTACTTAATCTTCTTATTACTCAATGTACTGCTAATTTTGCTGATACCATGGCACTCAGCTGGCTGATGTGACAAATGCTTGCGGCAGTCTTGTCTTCCCTTTGAGACCACTGCTTTGATTTACTCTGGCCAATTGCTCAAAGTAGGCATTATCCAAACAGTTCTCTAATTAGTCCACCTTGTTATTTACTTCACAGAATTTCCTTCTATCATCTCTTATCCTAAAATTTCATCCCCCTACTATACATAAACTTTGAGTAACCAGCCATAACCTGAATTTTTCCCTAAGTTCCTCATCCACAGCTCCAACTATTTCTGGAGCATGCTAAGTATATAAGCTGCTATCACCTACAAAAATCCAAAATACCCTACATCACAGTCATCTTTCTTCTTCCTCTTTTTAACCCCAAACCTGTTGTAGTTTCTTCATATTCCAATTTAAGGTCAACACCATCTACCTAATCAGCAAGTTTAAAACCTTGGAATTTAATTTCTTCTTCCCCTGGTCAAAAACACACAAACATCAGCCTTGAAAATCCCTTGAGCTGATAAAATCAGACTAATCATACAAACAACAATATCAGATTAATCATGCAAAGCTTAATTTACCTTCTTTTACAATACTAACTGATCTGGGTCATTTATGTTTTTGTGTCTTTGGAAATTATAAGCAAAACTTAAGCTATTTCCCCAGGTTGATATGAAAATTATATAAATTATATAAAATGATATAAAATAAAATATCATTTTATAACAACTGATTAAAGAATAGTGCTTTTCCACTGAACAAGCTACTTAATACTCTAAACCCATGAGCTTCATTCCGTGTTTTGTTCTGACTGCTTCCAGTTCCCAAACTTTGGGATGGCCACTAAAAACTAATTATTACCTAGGTGACTCACTGACTTTACTTTGGTCATTTCTGAACTTTAGACATGGTTAACTTTAGCTCCTCATCCAGTCATTGAATCTCTTACTTCAATCCTAAGATTCTCTCTATTACGGTTTTTCTTTTAAATTACCTCTCCCTCTAGTTAAACTTTCTGTAAGTGTGCTTTCTCTTCCCCTAATCTTTGCTTTACCACATCAGCCAGCTTTCTTCCTAAAATACAAACTTGCATAACTTCTCAGTGCCTACATTACTGCATTCAAACTATATATGCTTCTTAAGACAATTCAAAATCTGGCTGCATCAATTATTTATTTGTTTGTTTGCTTATCTGCACAAAACTGGGGTGGAAGTTAGAGGTAAGGGGCGGGTAAGAGGATTCACCAGAGACAGAGTGGGGAGCATAACAGGTGTATTTATTGAAATACACTGCTAAGGGGAGCAGTAGGCAAGGCTGGAGAGGTCTGCTATGCTATGTGGATCAGATATCTGGCCAGGGATCAAACTCAGGTCTTAGCAGTGATATAGCACTGAGACGTAACCCCTATGCCACCAGGGGGCTCCAACAAAAATTATTTTTTAACACCATCTCAGTATAGATGCTTTCTCCTGCATATCCACTTGTATCAGTTACACTTAAATCATAAAATGTTTACTTCTGAATATGATTACATGCTGATATAAACCAATATTAAATATATATATAATATACTATATATTATTTACTCATTAAGCAACTTACTGCACAAGATACACTTATTTTAACATTCCATAGTAAGTCATAGTAAATTGATTACTCATTTAAAACAAAAGTACTACTAAAGATTAAAACAAAAGCAAAATAATTTATTATAAGTTTGTCCACATAAAAAATCAAATTGGATTTACTAGAAAAGTCATTTCAACTAATAATATTGATCATTATGTAATAATGCTAATGTTTTATGTAATTTTATATAAATAAGTTTTGAAAATCTTTTCCATTACTTATAAAATATTTTATTAAAATGCTATATTCCTGTTTTTGCATATTTTATTTGTACTTCTATATTATTTATATTACAAAATGTAATGAGAAACTTTTACAATAAAGATCTTAGTCTGTTTCCAAAAGTTCTCACAGAAATTCTATTATTTATAAGTCAAATATATCAAATAAATAATGCTTACACTTTTAATTGCAATTCCTTGAGGCTGTAGATCTTCAAGGAATTTAATATTTCAATATGCTATTAAATGTACTTTGCATTTTATTTTAATATGAACAAATCATTAAAAAATACTTTCCTTTATAATCTATTTTATCAACAACAAATTAATGAATTTAATGAATGTATAAACTTTTCCTCAGTCCACCATTTAATTAATGAGTAAATCACAAAAATTATAGAACTAACTGCTCTAGAATAGAATGTTCTGTATTTACTTAAACTTAGATACAAATATGATATTCTCTATATTACTTAGCATAACATTTTAGTATTCCTAGATGTTAATGGATCCCACCAGGAACTTTCAGAAGGTGCAAGATTAAGGCTTTAAGAAGCCATTAAGCTGGTCTACAAGAAGCAACAGAAGAACTGAAATAATAAAACTCTTACTACTTGCTATAGTAAATATCAGCATCTCCTTCTCCTCCTATTTAGGGATAGACCTACCCAGTATTTAAATAAAAGTCTTCTTTGTGTACAGCCAGGCAGATCACTTCATTGATATTAATGGTGCCATTAGGTGTGGTAGACTTATCATTCTCATAGTAACTCAAGAACCCTCCTTCCAAAACACACCACTTCTTATTTGTCTCTAATAATTCAAAACAAAACAAAGAATACGTTAATTTATATCATAAATCCAGTTTTCAAAAACACACAAAGACATTTATTAATTTCCTGCTTTGTGGTTGGAGCAAAAAATTGCTGCAGAGGATAAAAAAAGTTGCCACACGCTTTTCTTTCAAAAAATGTACAGACCAGAAAGCAGGGATGCACACAAAATAACCATAACATTGATGGCCAGAGAGCAGACAGATTTATGAAGAGATATCTGCAAAGCAATTCTGAAACAGCAAAGAGTTAGGTCTGTACAGAGCATTAGGGTGAACAGTGAAACTGGGACCAATGGGAGGTACGTATGCAAAGGAAGTGTCAGAATCTGCAGTGATCTTAATGCCTTATTTGGGGGATTTAAAATTCTTTTAAAATTTAGTATACGACCCCCTTCAGCTCACCACTTTTTTTTTTTTTAAAGATTTATACAAGCACTGGGTACAGTCATAAGCGTGGGAAGGTGAAAGAATTCACCAGAATCAGAGCAGGGAAAAGAACTGAAGAAATACACTGCTGAGGGGAGCAGCGGGTGTGGCAGGAGAGGTCTGTCGCACCATGTGGGACCCTCCCCTGGTGGCCAGGGATCGAACCAGCACTGCAGATGCTGTGGGCAGCTTCACAACCCAGCGCTCAATGGCTGCGCCACCGGGGAGGCCCCACCACTTCTTTATTTAAATAAAGTTTTCTTAAAACAGTCACACCCATTCATTTATGAATTGCCTGTGGCAGCTTTTTAACTACAAGAACAGAGCAGAATTCAGCAGCGATGATCTGGCCTGCAAATCCAAATTATTACCTAGCCCTTTTTAGAAAGGTTTCCTGAGCTTTGACTCTGTAGTTGATGGTGAGAGATGTCAATGGTTTCAGGAGGCACAGATAATCGGATTTGAATTTTACACTCTGATTACTGTAAAAGATGAATTTGAGAAAGTGGGGGCAGAGGCAGGATAACAGGACTCTGTTGACAGTCTTACTGAGAGATAATTGTGGACAAAAGTAGAACAGTTGTGGCAGGAAAGGCAGATATGGATGAGGGAGAGAAAAATATAAATGTACATATTCAAGTTGTAAGAAGAGAAACAAATTGATCAGATGCAGAGAGAACTTACAATTGGATATATCATTTTTAGCTTTGATTAGATTAGAAGGTGGGCAGTGACACCCATTTGTATTTAAAAGGAAATAGAGTTGTGTTTTTTTAAAGATTTATTTATTTATGCGTACAAGAACTGGGGTATAAGCCAGAGGTGCGGGTAGTGAGAGGATACACTAGAGACAGAGTGGGGAACAGAACAGGCATATTGACTGAAATACATGCTGAGGGGAGCAGCAGGCAGGACAAGAGAGGTCTGCTGAGCCATGTGGGTTGCTCCCTGGCCAGGGATCCAACTCGTGCTGCAGTGGCTGCGGTTAGCTTCATAGGTTGCATCTTAACCCTTTGCGCCACCAAGGAGGTCCTAGAGTTTGTTTTTTTTTTTTTTAATTTATTTATTTATGCAGGCCATAGGTGCAGGGGCGGGGGGGGGGGCGGTGAGAGGATTCACCAGAGACAGAGTGGGGAACAGAACTGGCAGAATGACTGAAATACACTGCTAAGGGGAGCAGCGGGAGAGTCAGGAGAGGTCTGCTGTGCCATGTGGGTTGCTCCCTGGCTGGTCAGGAATCAAATTCATGCTGCAGAAGTTGTGGATAGCTTCACAGTGCTGTGTTTAACCCTTTGTGCCACCATGGAGGCCCTAAAGTAGAAAGTTTTAATGTACCTGTTCCCCTTTAGATATACTAAATGAGAGATACCTGCTAGAAATCCAAGCAGAAATACCTACTAAGTAGATCACCCTGTGGATTTGCATGTTGGAATCAGGGAAAGGTCTCAAAAGTCTTTAGGATGCAGGGCCTCCCCGGTAGCGCAGGCGGTTGAGCACCACACTGTGAAGCTGTCAGCAGCTTCTGCAGCAACGCTTAGATCCCGGCCAGCCAGGGAGAATTCCACATGGTGCAGCAGACATCTCCTGTCATGCCCACTGCTACCCTCAGCAGTGTATTTCGTCAGTCTGCCTGTTCTGTTCCCCGCTCTGTCTCTGGTGAATCTTCTCACCATCCCGTGCATCTGGCCTGTACCCCGGTTCTTGTATAAATAAATAAATAAATAAATAAATAAATAAATAAAAATCTTCAGGATGCAAAGAGTAGTTGAAAATATATAGTAACCAAGCATAAAATCTTAGAAAACTTAAAATTTTAAGGAGTGTGGATACAGAGAGATCCATGAAAATAACAAAGCAAATGTGAAGAGACAGTGTATAAAACAGCAAAGGGGAAGAGCATTTCTAAAAGAAAGAGTACCCATTATTAAATACAGCACCAAGAACTAGTAAAATAGGGCTAAAAAAGTATCTGCTGGTCTTTATAAGGAAATAACTGCCTCCTTCACAGACCGTGTTATACAAGAAGCCAGGCTGCAGCATATTGAAGACCCAATGGGTAATAAGAAAGAGAACCAGTAATGATACATCAATTACCTCTATAATAAAGGAAAGGATATGGAAAGGATATTCCAAGCTCTAATGAAGGCATGAGGCATGTGGAAGCAAATGATAATCAAAAATGTTTGCCAAACTAAACCAAGAAGGAAGATTTTCTTTCTCAAAAGCAGAAGGGAATAAAGAAAAGTTGAAAATCATAATCTTGGGTTAAGAAAACTATTTAACTAAATGGTACCCTATCCAGCTAACCCAGTTTCTCTTCAGCACAACTTGTGCTGACACTCTTCTGCCACCCTCTATTCCTCTTGCCAGGCAGAGTTAAGTATCCTTCTGTGCACACTTAGGACTATGTTGATCCCAAGAGGGTAGAATTAGAAATCAAAGACTCTGGGTTCTGATAATACCTCCATCACTAACTGAGAACAAAGAATCTAAGCATACTGTGTCCCCATGTTCCTCATCTTAAAACAGGGTAAGAGAAACATCTTTACTCATAGGATTAACAGGGTATGTGGTAGCCTAATGATGTAATTCTTGTGAAGTTATAGAAAAGTGACTTGACATGTGGTTGTTCAAACACACACTCTCATTTTATATATTAATTTTCATTCAATTTAACAATTTAAAATGCAATTTTTAAATAGAACTATAAAACTGGCATAGCCATGCAATTAGCATTATTTTAAATGCATATGCTGAGTCAAATGTATTCTACTAATGTATCAACTACAGTATGACAGTATTATTTTGGAAAGTACAGTAAACTATACAAGTTATTATAACATCTGTGTCAATACAGCCATGAAAATAAACAAAGATCCATGTGCATAACTGGAAAAAAATGAAATTAGGCTAAACATCATTACAACTGACTATGGAAATGATAAAAGGGAAGAAAGTTATTAACAGCTACAATTAACTACTCAATAATGGAAGTCAGGAACTATTTCCTAAAAGTCATCTATGTTTTATCACTTTTAATTCTGAAAATAAAATTAAGGGTCATTTCAAAAGATGCAATATCGATTTGCTAAAGTGTAGTATAATGGAACACAGCAGGGTATGAAAAAAGGTGTGATTTCAGAAATGGTTCTCTTGGCTCAGGCTTGTTTTACTCCTACTGAATTTTGAAAATGATGCACAGACATCAGATGTGCATGTACTACTTAAGTCTTCCATGGGGTTTTACCTTACTTTACATACTAGAAGTACCCATGCTCTAAACTTATTTCTTGACTGCACTTCAGGCACTGAAAATATGAATGCAAACATGTTTAAACAAAAGGAATGAATGCTACCCAGACACCAGGACTTTATAAAGCCTGCCTTCTCATGGCCAGAATCTGCTATTAATCTGCCTCATTCTTTTTTAATTTCCAGTAAAAAAAAAAAAGCTGTACTAATTAACAACAACAAAAATCAACTGAAAGACACTAAAATGCAAAAATTATATTCAAAAGATTTGTTATTTTCTATAGATTTTAATGATGTAATGCCAAGTGTATAGTTTGCCAAACATCACTTTGGATAAGTGAGGTAGAATAGCAAGCTCTAGATGTTTCAAGAAGTAATGCAAAGATAGAAAATTTATTTGAAACTTTCCATTTCCTTAGATACAGGGAATTAATTTTTAATTATGCCCCAACATCCTGTTTCTGGACTTAAGAGATTGTACAAACTATCACATTGGAAGTTACTGCCAAGAATTAAATTATATAAGAAACCCTCGACTGTGCATTTAAAATATACATCAGAGCTATAGACAGTGAACCTAATAAACAAGATCGACAGATTCAGATTTAATGAATAAAATCTATGAGTCAGAAGATCTAATTTTGATCAAAATATTGTGACTGTTTCGGGATTTTCTTTTTAAGAAATGCACACTGAAGTATTTAAAAATAAAGAGGCAATGAGTCTGCAACTTATTATTAATTCTGAAAAAAAAATGTATGCATACACACATATACACATGTGTGTAAAAATAATAAACACATTCACAGAAAGTAAATATAAGACACTAATACTTGGGGTATATGAGTAAGAGATTATGTCAACTTTTCAGTAAATCTGAAACTAAATTAACTAAAACTATATATAATGTTATTCTTTAAATTTCCCTTTATGATAGTGGCTGGTGGTTAGAAGTAGAAGAAAGAAAACAAGACAATTTGTTTAGCCTAAGAAGCATCAGAAGGAGAAACACTCAACTAGGTAGAAACCCAGAGAGCTCTAGCATCACTGTATTGAGAAATGGATTGCCAAATGAAGGCCAAATTGTAACTGGCAGAAGAAAACACCGCAAATTATTCTTTATGTGTACTGGAACTGAAAGCAAGCAGAAACCCAATCAATTCCTACTGGACAGCGATACATTGTTGCAGGACCTTTATAACCTGAGTCACAGTGTATACTCTGCACAGTTAAATAAAAGTCATTGCAGGCCGTACATTATAGATGAATATTTATTGCAAATTTTTCAAATATAAGAGAA